TACTACAAATGTACTTTAGCCATCTTAGGTAAATCAATAAAGGCTATGGATGACATGCCACTGGGTTAATGATGAAGATAAAAAAAAACAAACAAAACAAAAGCAAAAACAAAAAACCAAAGAATAGTCACACGAGTGAGATGGGAATATGTGACAGTTCATTTACCAACGTAGTAGAGCACAGGACTGAATACTTAGCAAATGTGTGTTATTTCATACTTCCCAAAACTATCTTTTAGAGTTTTTAGCTGTAAAACCAGTAGGAGAGCAGAAAACCGAATACAGTGATATGTGTACTGTCTCTTAACTTTAGAAAGGTACACTAAAAGAAAAGAAAGTATGATATATATATATCAGTAACTCTCTGGCCAATGGTCATAAACAGAAAGATACCTTAAAAATGTTAATAGTCTTAGAGACATATAATGATAATAATGTAGTAGAGATAATATTTGAAATAAAGGCAAATGGCAACTAAAGAAGACAAAGTGACTGCATAAGAATTTCTCTTACTTAGGGATGCCTGGGTGGCTCATTAGGTTAAGCCTCTGACTTTGGCTCAGGTCATGATCTCATGATTGGTGGGTTCAAGCCCCATGTCGGGCTCTGTGCTGACAGCTCAGAGCCGGAAAACTGCTTCAGATTCTGTGTCTCCCTTTCTCTCTGCCCCTACCCCACTCATGTTCTGTCTCTCTCTCGAAAATAAACATTAAAATTTTTTTTAAATAAAAAATAATAAAAAAAGAATTTCTCTTAACTTATTCTGATGTTTAGATATTAAAAGAAATATACGTATATATATTACATAGAGAATGTATATCTATTTTAATAAAGATCTAGAATATTTATCTACATACAATATATATCCTAGACGTGACTATGTTAAGTTTATGTATGTGTATACTGTATGTGAATTTGTATATGTATATATACATAGGTGTGTATTTGTGTAGGAACATACGTATGTGTGTGTATGTGTATATTAGAACAAACTGTGCTCTGGATAAAATAATACATTCATGTCAGTTTGAAAGAACAGAACTAGTATCCCATGATTGGAGTAATATACGAGAGACTGCAACAAAATATCAAGATGTTAAATAGCAGTACAACTACCCAGTGATTTAATGCGATGTTCTTTTTATCCAAAGGAGTGTTTAAGCAAAGGAGGGGTTTTATCCAAAGGAGGGTTTATCCAAAGGAGGGTTTATCCAATTGAGGGTTCCCTCAATCTGAGTGACCAAACTGAGGGAATATACAGAGTGGCCTCTAGTAGTGTGTGGATGGCTGAACTAAAAATCTCTCAGGTCCTTTTTAATCCTAAAAGACTATGATACTCAGCCCTACGTCTTGTGGGATGTCCTTTCAACTAATATTCATCACACTGATCACAAGTTTCTAAGATTTTTTTTCCCAAATTGTTCAATTGATTGATTGTTCCAATTATTACCCATATCTGGGCATTCATGACCTCTCAGTCACAACATTCATGACTTTCCTCACCCTCTTTGCTTAATAAACGGCATTTGTTTTCCCATTCTTCTTTTGATGGCTAGTTAACATAGCCAATCAAATGAAGTTGCAATTGAGGCCACCAACATTTACTTGGTACTCGTGATTAAAATGAATATTATATCAATTTTCAATTTTTAAATACAGAACAAACTTATTTAGGATGAGCACTTGAGCCAAGAAAAGAATATTGCCTTATCAGGATGCCTAGATTCAACAGATCTTCTAAACTAGTCCATTTATATTGAACCACATAGCTATTGTACCAACCAACCAACCAACCAACCAACCAACCAACAACAACAACAAAAACACGTAATTGTGTTATACTGATCTTGAGAGAATGAAGTTTCACAATCTCCTTCTACAAGTCATTCCTACATTTATCAACTCTCACAGACAGGAAATTGTAGTGTTTATCTGTCCTAAGCCTTTCACCCTGTAGTATAAACTAATTTCCGTTTTCTTGATTCTCTGCACCTGGGTATCTTAGCAGCTGTGTGATCTTATTTTCCACAAAATAAGAAACAGAATAAGGTCATATCAACCATACAGATCATGTATAATATTAGTCAGAATGATAGAATTCATGAAACATCATAAAACAGATTGGCAGCTACCCCTGCTGTGCAAAAACAAAACAAAACGAAACAAAACAAAACAAAACCACAATATTTTGGTAACAATAACGTGCCCAGTCTGCTGAAATAAAAGATGTTAACAGCCACATATTTCCATGGATTGTATGGAAACAGTTATAAAGAAAGAGAAATACATTTTGTGTAAATCAGTAATACACCCCAAACAAATTTACACATCATTTACTACCTCTTATGATAATAGTATGGCAAATGGTGTCAGGTATTCACTCTAGAGATAGATACAATCATAATGTACCAGTGAAAACATAAAATTGATTTTGTTACTGCTCTAATATAAGAGGATTACAAATTATTTCACTTTTCAAATTCATACAACTTAATCTGGTGTGCCGTATTCAGAACTGCTAAACTCAGCAACTATTCAAGTAATGCAGAATTTCACTAGACAATCATTAATTACTACATTGAGATGTAGAATATATTACCTTACAGAGATTATCTTGACTCAATAATTACTTCATGTTTCACTTACATGAATTATGTCACTTACATACAAATAGCTTCCGAGCCTGAAGAACACATAGCCTTCTATTTTGATTATTAAAAAAGTAACATTGTGAAAAGAAAGAAAGAAAGATCCAAAATTAAATAAATAAATAAATAAATAAATAAATAAATAAATAAATAAATACCAAAACTCTTATGAAAATAAACTCCTTTTCATTATCCCCAGGAATATGTTGACATACATATTGGCCAGCTGAGGTTCAAATTAGATAGCACCACAGGTGACAGAAACCCTGAGGCCGGCATGGATCCTGAGGACAAAGGTGACTGTTTCAATTATTTCCCTTGAATGGCTTATCCAGCTTTGACCTCAGCATGAGGCAAGGTATTGGGAGCCTGATCCATGCAGCCATGTAATTATGCATTTAAGTTTATTTTCTTAATTAATTTAAATATGCTTGAGAAATATACAGGGCTTGAATCTGAGAGCCTGGTTACTGGATAGAAACAAGACTCCTGAAGTGAGAGAGTTGATCATAACTTTCATGAGCTTTAGAAAGATGCTCATTGGAAGAGATGATCAAATGTTTGAAATTTCAAATCTTGGAGAAAGTTATAGTCTTTATTTCTTTCAAAGTGATTTTTCTTTGTTTTGTTTTGTTAAGAAAAATGAGGTTAAAGAAATTGCTGTCAGCAACTGCTAATTTGGCTGATAGTCAAAAACACATAAAAGAATCTTCAGAGTTATACACATTGCCCCTGATAATGTGGTAAAGGAATCATTCATTAACGGAGCACGGACATTGGTAAGGGAGACAGGAGCAGAACTCAGAACAAAAAGAATAGGAGTAGAATTGGTATAATCTACGCCAAAATATTCCCAATTGTGGGGGTGGGGGACACTGAGCCAACTCTTGGGACAAAGGAACACTTCAGATGTATTAACAGAGAGTCTCTTAAAGAAATAATTTGTCTAGTAGCCCCCAGTTCCACCTTTAGCCACCCACAGACTCACAGACCTTGATCAGTGACCCTGAACACATGTCCATTGCTAGGATATAGTCATTTTCTCTAATCCTGGAACATACTGAGTTCTGCTCAACTTTTGCCTTTTTTTTTTCTTTTTTTTTCTTTTACTTTTTGATGAATACCCTTCAAAATTTGCACCGTATCAGAGAAATGGAACCCTTGCTCAGCTCATTTTACTCCGTGAACATATGCTCTTCTGTCATGATTTGTACAGTTATAGTTTTTCCTCTCCGGAAGGCTAGGCCACCTGCTTTCCCAGGGTCTTTGCACACAACTGCAGTGTCCTACACTATGGACAGATGCTGGGCTCATTTTCCCTTTTAAGATTTTGTTTCAAGTTAGAATTGCATGTTAGTGAACTCAGAAAGAAACTACTTTTGGCTAAGTCAATACACTGTAGAGTTTAAAAAAAAAAAGAAAAGAAAAGAAAAGAAAAGCAGTAGCAACAGCCCAGTACACAGAGATCAGTGAAGTTAAACAGCCAGCTTTATACTTGCCCCTGAGGACGCAGAGTTCTAAGGATTAACAGCAGTCTAGTCAGCAAGTGTAAGATACCTGCTTCAATGTGAAGATATCTGAAGTCTTTAAGCAAAGGCAGAAAGCTTTAAAGGCAGAGTCAAAAAATTTAAGAATTTAGCCAGAAAATATGAAGTGAGCTCAACTAGATTTTCCTGAAGTGGCTTATTTTTCCCAGATAAGTCATGCTCATAGTTTTATTGTACACATGCAAAATTAAAGCAAAATTCATTGATGAGTTATAGAATTATTTTATATTATTACTTTTCATGAAAGAGTGATTTAATTTCTGGTTTTATATTTACCATGCTTGTGCTCCAAAAAATGAGATCACCATCTGGTGACAATTACATACATTGGTCCATGTGGCCCAGGAGAAATTCCTGAGTTTAGATTTGATCATGCAGTATGTTACACAGAAAGCATAGGGAGGAAGGTAAATACTCTGTGCAAAGTATTTTAAAGGTACTTGTGATATTTAATATTAATTTTAATATGAAATATCATCTCTAAACAACTCATTTCCTACATTACCAGGTTTAGCAAGCAATAGTTCAAGCTTATAGGTTGAAAGTTTTCTAACTTGCTAATGAATCGGTGTTCTGTACTATCTCATGATCTCAATTTCCCATACTTAAATGGCAGATAGTAATATCATACATGTGTCATGGATACATACTGAATGTAGTCTTATAATACATGACAGTCTTTGGAATTTCAAGACACATACTAGTAAAGATTAAGAAAAATAACTTTCAATTAAAAAATAAAAATAACAGCACTGTATCGTCTTTGAACCAAAAGCAGTAGGTATAAAATCATGGTGGTACTTACCACGGTGAAATTCATCACTTTCAATATCCATATTGTCATGGCTAAGTTAACTATCATGGTAACCAACAGCAGAAGGACAAAGAAGTATAAGCACCTCTTTCGCCATCCATAAATCCCCACTGGGTAAAGTTGTGCATTCTCAGCCCTTGGCAGGTTGTTTTGTTGTGTTGCTAGTATGTATTGTTCTCGAGTCATCTGAAAAAAAAGAAGAAGAACAAAAGAAAGAAAAGAAACATTCAAAACTAAAACCAATGGGTTTTTTTTTTGTTTTTATTTTATTTATTTATTTATTTGTTTGTTTCCTAGCATTTATTTTTTTTAACATGAAATTTATTGTCAAACTGGTTTCCATACAACACCCAGTGCCCATCCCAACAGGTGCCCTCAATGCCCATCACCCACTTTCCTTCCCTCCCATCCCCCATCAACCCTGTTTATTCTCAGTTTTTAAGAACAATAGCACTGCTAGGAAATTACCCAAGGGATACAGGAGTGTTGATGCATAGGGGCACTTGTACCCCAATGTTTATGGCAGCACCTTCAACAATAGCCAAATTATGGAAAAGCCTAAATGTCCATCAACTGATGAATGGATAAAGAAATTGTGGTTTATAAACACAATGGAGTACTACGTGGCAATGAGAAAGAATGAAATATGGCCTTTTGTAGCAACGTGGATGGAACTGGAGAGTGTGATGCTAAGTGAAATAAGTCATACATAGAAAGACAGATACCGTATGTTTTCACTCTTATGTGGATCCTGAGAAACTTAACATAAGACCATGCGGGGAGGGGCAGGGAAACAAAAAAAAGTTAGGGAGGGAGCCAAACCATAAGAGACTCTTAAAAAACTGTTTGTTTTTTTTTTAAACCAAAAGATACAACATACCTACAGATGGGTAGTAAGTGTTCAAAGAACTATTGCTGTGTATTGAAAATTAAATAATTAAATTAAAATTGATTAAAATCTTACAAAATACCTCCTATCACATCATTGATGCTGCATTTTAGAGCTGTTCAACTAGCTGTGGTATTTCTAAGATGTATATTATTTTCAGTCAGATTTGCCCAATTCTAACAGTAACCTTTTCTCTGGAGAGTGATGATGGTGCAGCTCTACTTCCTGGTGTCTATAACCTAAAATTCAATGCACATCCCAGTTACTCTTGGAATAAGTGTCATCTGTTTCTTGGGGTAGATAGAGACCAACTGTATCTCAACATTTCTGTACCTTTATCTAAAAATACAGGGTATCAGTGGCTCAGTGTATATGTTTTAGTAAAATGTAAGTGCATTTGAAAGAACCAACGGGAAGAAAATACACATTCATTTAGAATTATATAGATTTAGCTATTTGGTTAGTGCTTTTACTTAGAACTTTGTTGGTTATTTATTTTAGTTGTATTTCAATGAGTTCTCAAAATAAAATTGATCTCTAAAAAACACAAAACACTACACTGTACTATCCAATTATATAATATTATATAACATATTGATATATGCAGAAGTCCATTCTGGAAAAGGGGAGGTGGTATTCCTTGGTAATGTATAAATTTAGGTTTGATGTTAATTCTTTCAAAAGGCTAATCCGTTATTTTCTGCCCGATACAACCAAGAAGTATGGTTAAGAAAAGTCAAAGAATATGTACTAGGTATACAATTTTTAGAATAAAATATTACCTGAGGGATAAAAAATAATTTTTATAAAATATAATTTTCTCTAAGGCAATAAGTTTTTTTAGTTTAGTGTTTTTTCTCCTTAGGTCTTTTCAGAATTCTCTTATTGTGTATGTCCATTAAACAATTACTACAACGGAAATAATGCTGAATAAATACACCAAAATAAAAACAGCATCAGTGAAGAATTATAATTACCTGTCAAGTAATATAAAAAATACAGTTATATCTCATTGCATTGTGCTTCACTGTATTGTGCTTTGCAGATTCTGTGCTATTGACAAATTGAAGATTTGTGGCAATGCTGAGTTAAGCAAGTCAATCTGTGACTTTTTCCAACAGCATTTGTTCATTTCAAATCTGTGTCTTACATTTTAGTAATTCTCACAATATTTCAAACTTTCATTATTATATCTGTTATAGTGATCTATGCCCAGTGATTCTGATGTGACTAATAATTGTTTTGGCACCATGAACGACACCCGTATAAGATGATGGCTTAATTGATAACTGTGTGTTTTGACTGTTCCACCGAGTGGCCATTCCCTCTCTGTCTCCTTTTCCTCAGGCCTGCCTTTTACCTGAGATAGAACAATACTGAAATTAGGCCAACTAAAAACCCTACAATGATTTGTTGTGATGCACACCAGATACTATATGGAAGTGTTGAATCACTGTATTATAGACCTGAAACTGATATTATACTGGATGTTAACTAACTGGAATTTAAATAAAAACTTAACAAACACACAAAAAACCCTGCAATGACCTCTAAGTGTTCAAGTGAAAGGAAGAGTTGCATGTCTCACTTTAAATCAAAAGCAAGAAATGATTAAGTTTAGTGACAAAGCCTTGTTTTCTTGGGCCAAACAATTATCCAAGACGTGAATACAAAGAAACAGTTCTTGAAGGGAATGAAAGTGCCACTCTCTCAAACACATGGGGATAAGAAAGCAAAATAGCCTTACTGTTGATATAGAGAAAGTCTTAGTGTCTGGACAAAAAAAATCAAACCAGCCACAACATTACTTTAAGCCAAAGCCTAACCCAGAGCAAGGCCCTAACTCTTCAATTCTACGAGGGCTGAGGGAGGTGAGGAACCTGCAGAGGACAAGGTGAAGCTAACAGAGGTTGGATCATGAGGTATAAATACAAAAGCCATTTCCAAACACAAAAGCCTGCAAGGTGAAAGGCCAGGTGATGACGTAGAATCTGCAGCACATTCCAGAACTAACTAAGATAAGTCATGAAGAAGGCTACACTCAACAAAAAATTTTCAGTGGAGATGGAGTAGGCTTCTACTGGAAGAAGATACTAGGAGTTTTATATCTAAAGGAGAAGTCAAAGCCTGCCTTCCAAAGCTTCAAATGACTCTCTTGTCAGGGACAAATGCGTCTGAAGACTTCAAGTTGAGACCAGTGCTCCTGTACCCTTCCAAAATTCCTAGGGCCCTAAAGAATTATGTTCAATCCACTCTGCAAATGCTCTACAAATTGAAAAACAAAGCCTGGAGGGTAGCGTATCTGTTTACAACATGGTTTAGTGACTATTTTAAGTCCCCCGTTGAGAACTATTGCTCACGAAAAGATTATTTTCAAAGTATTACTACTCACTGCCAATACACTTGGTCATCCAAGTGCTCTGATGAAGATTAATGTTGTTTTCATGCCTGATCCATTCTGCAGTCCATGGATCAATGAGTAATTCTGACTTTCAGGTAGAAATACATTTCATAAGGCTAGGTGCCGTAGACAGTGATTCTTCTGATGGATCTGGGCAAAATAAAATGAAAACCCGGAAAGGATTCACTATTCTAAATACCATTAAGAACATTCACGATTCATGAGATGAGGTCCAAATATCAACATAAACAGGAGCTTGGAAGAAGTGGCTTCCAACCCTCATGGATGACTTTGAGAGGTACCTGACTACAGTGGAGGAAGAAACTGCAGATGTGGTGGAAAGCGCAAGAGAACGAGGATTAGATCAGGGACTGAATCCGGGCAATCTCAAGATCAAACCTGAACGAATGAGGGGTTGCTTCTTACGCTTATGGATGAACAAAGAAAGTGGTTTCCTGAGATGGAATCTATTCCTGGTAAAGATGCTGTGAAGATTGTTGAAATGACAACAAAAGAGTTAGACTATTACATAAACTTAGTTGATAAGCAGCAGCAGGGTTTGTGAGGATCGACTCCAATTGTGAGAGAAGTTTTACTGCGGATAAAGTGCTGTCAAACAGCATGGCATGCTACAGAGAAATCATTTGTGAAAGGAAGAGTCAACTGATGCAACAAACTTCAGTGTTGTCTTATTTTAAGAAACTGCCACAGCTACCCTAACCTTCAGCAACCACCACCGGGAGCAGTCAGCAGTCATCAACCTCTATGACTCTTCACCACCAAAAAGATCACAACTCACTGTAAGCTCAGGCGATGTTTAGCATATTTTAGCAAAAAAGTATTTTTTCCTTGGGGTATGTACCTTGTTCTCTTAGACATAATGTTGGTGCACACTTAATAGACTACAGTATAATAGTTTAAACATAACTTTTATATGCACTGGGAAACCAAAAAAAAGTTATTTGATTCACTTCTTAAAAATATTTGCTTTATGTGGTGGTCTAGAACAGAACCTGCAATATATCTGAGGGGTGCCTATATATGTTATAGAAAATATGTACCACAAGAGTATAAGTATTAGTGTTCATTGAACCAATCCTACTCTAAGTAAAATGTGGAACCATATATTGATAAATGCTAACATCCAATTTTTTTTTGTTTTTTTCCCAATTTTGTTTTTATTTTAGAGCTCTAACTAGAAATTATATTGATGCGGTGTTATTTTGCTTTATTTTTTAAATGAAGAGTACTATCATTCAGAGAGTAAAAATTCTTGTATATGTTAAATCAGAATTTTGGATGAATTAGAGGTGGTAATACTAGATAATCAAGAGCAAATTATTTCATGATATAAAGAATTACTTGTTTGCTTACTGTCATTTTTATTGAGGTTAATATTTCATGTTTCCTTGAGGCTAGTGAAAATCTTTAGTCCTTACTGAGATTCCTATTTAGAGGGGAGATACACAACATATTAACTGCTGTGTACTATAAGTGTTATAAGAGATGACAGCAGACCAGGGGGATTTACTTTGCCTAAGGATTGTGGTGGAGATTTTATAGTTCTAACAACAGTTATGACTACAAAATAGAAAATGTATTATAAGAAGAAGATGAAAGGAACTCTAGGGACCACCACCACTGAAGGAAAGACTAAGGAAGGGACTAGGGAAAGGAAGCACATAGATGTAGGAAGACAGCAGGAGAGAGCACAAGCCTGGCTATGCCTGACTGGCCAGCAGGAGACCTCCTCGTATAGCTTGTCTGGGAAAAGGCACAAATGCTATCACTATTTAGATCATGCATTGCTTTTCATCTCATATTAAAGCAACGTTCTTTCTTAGAATATTCTATTTCTACAAATCCTAGTTAGACATGAAGGTGAGAAGGTGAGAT